AATAAAAAAAATCAAAATAATAAAAAAACCAAAAAAAAGCATCCTCGCCCCCCCGCGTGCACACAACTGCGTGCGCAAGCGCTGACCCGGTATGTAAACAGCGGTTGAACCATGCATGTGAGGTATCGCCATGAACATCAGATCAAGGGCAGTAATTCTCCTCTGTAAATCTAAAATGGTAGCTTGTAAAGTCTTTTAAAGAGTTGCCTATGAATATTAAAAATGTATGCAGTTTGTCGCCATTGCACGGGGCATGCACAGTTTTAAAGCATGTCATGTTTGGTATCTATTTACTCGGCATTCCATCATGTTTTATATTTTACCAAATAAGTGGTCAATATATTGTGTGTTTGCGCATTAAAAGTAAAAAAAAAGTGTTTTTGTTTTTTAAATTTGGGCTTGAAAAAGTGATGCACGAGTACTATGTGACATAAAAATTTGCAGTACCCACCAATTTATTCACTACGGTGTTTGCTTTAAAAAAATATATAATGTTTGGGGGTTTAAATTAAGATCCTAGCAAAAAATACTGATTTTTTTTCATGTAAACAAAAAGTGTCAGAAAAGGCTTGATCTTCAGGTGGTTAGAAGAGTGATGAGTGGCATAAACTTCTAATGCTGGGCATAAAATGCCTCTACCCCTCAAAATGACCACGTTTTGGAAAGTAGACACTCCAAACTATTTGCTGAGAGGCATGTTGAATCAATAGAAGAATTTATTTTAACAAAAGTTTATGGAAAATGACAAAAAAAAATGCATCTATTTATTTTTTTTACACAAAATTGTCACTTAAATAATTTATTCCAGGCTGTCAGCTGGCCAAACGCAGTGATATTCCACCCAGATCTTGCAGCAGCCATCAAGGAGGGTTGGCATTGATGCAGACATGCTCATCTTTAATATGTGAGTGTATAGTGTGAAGATTTTATTGCTGCTCCTAATAAACTGGATTACACTCGGGCGGTCATGAGTGCAAGAAGAAATCCACAAATTGCTACATTTTAGAGTGACACATGATATTTTGTGACAGAACCCAGGTGGATTTTGAAAATTACTGTAAAAATGAGGCTGAGATTTTGCTGTGGAAAAAAAATAAAAAGAACTTGAGGAAAAATTTGAAAAAAGGAAGAAACTTTGGGAAACGTGAAGGAAAGGTAGCTATATCTGGTCTCCCACAGTACACAGAACATGGAAATGCAATTATTTTAGTAAATATAAACTGCTAAATACCTTTTCTCTTCAGCAGTTACAGCAGTCCTGTGACTTCTATCAGTGTCCAGCAGAGCACTGTTTAAAACTTGTAGGAATTTTCATTCTCCCCTGATCGACCTAAGAGGCTGCAAAGACCCCTGACCTTCTATCTGGACAGTGCCAATTGGCCTTGTTCTGATCACATGCACTCTCCCAAGAAAAAAAAAAAAGCTCTCTAGCAATGCACACCAAACTGAGCATGCACAGCGTGCCCCCAAGGCTCTGTTCTATTTGCAGATGGATTAGGGACACAATGCAGAGGATTAACCCCCTTAGGTTTCACAGTTAGTAAAACAAGCATGCTTTACTGCATATACAGCCTGATTTTACTGTTGTGGGTTTAGTAACACTTTAAGTTGAACCCATGTCACACTACAAAACAGGATATAAGGCTGATGAATGTAATGAACCAGTATGTCGGCCTTGAAATATAGTTGATCTTGATGAAAGAAAAAAAAGAGTGGTTGCTTACTGAAGTGGTGTGGCTCTAGAGAAGGTAAGCAGCAAGTACTCTTTCAACAAATCTCTGGATAAGAGTATATAATCATGTCCTTATACTAAAGGGGAGCTTTAAAATAAAATGATAGGAACCTAAAAAAAAAAAAAAAGTGGACCACAGGAATTACAATCTCTATGTCCTAAAGACACTGAGCTAATACTTGGAGTAACTGTACATTGAGGTGCAGCAGCAATTTTATTTAGTATCCAAAAACACAACACTTACAGCAAGTAAGCCTCTTCAATCAATAAACAATAACGGCCTAGTCGCACTATTGTGCTGCAGAAACATGTACAAATGCGTTACAACCATTGTGGTGCCATTTATTTTGGAAGGTAAACCAACTCACCAAGACGGTGCAGTAAATCGCACTTGAGTTTTGACATGTTGCAACACACCCATGTAATCCATCTGTGCTATCTAAATAAAAGAAAAAAAAAAAAAACCCTGTGCATGTCTTTTTCCATGGGTAAGGTGAGCTGCCAGACCATTCCAAATGAATGGTCTGCCTTGACCCAGCACACTTAAACACAAGGTAACATGTCTCATTAATGCCATGTATTGTGTGAAAGCAGCGAAGAGTTGGGGGATTTACTGTATACTATTTTGATGCTAACAAACCAGGCAGGATTTTAGTGAGGGCCTTGCATGCAAAGAACAGCCTTACTTCTATTCCGAAACTTAAATGACCTTATGGTCAGCTTACTCATGATCCCAAGGAAATTAATGGCTTATTTTGGTAGTTCTACAATAAGATATATAATGTGCCCTCCTGTTATAATATGACTCAAGAAGACCTCATCTCTAAAAGAGGGGACTACATTTCTTGGACTGCTCTCCCTACTGTCCCTTCATTAACAGTTGCAGATCTTGAAAAACCCTTTTCGGAGGAAGAGCTTGCTGCGGCACTCTCCTCTCAAGAATATTAAAGGTCCTGGCTCTGAATGGTATACTGCCCGCTTTTATAAAATGCTTCAGGACCTTCTTATTCCGATCCTGACTAAGATGTTTAATGCAGTGTCGCCGGACTCCCCCTTCCTGACAGTATATTTCCTGATGAATACAGACGTTCGTTTGTATTCCAAATTGATAGCTAACCAACTTAAGCCTTTGATCCCTGATTTGGTTCATCTTGATTAAGTGGGATTTACTCCAGCAAAGGAAGCCAATGATAACACCCTTAAAATGCTACTTCAATGGAATATGCTCTGAAATGCAGAATCCCAGCTTGTTTACTCTCAGTAGATGACAAAAAGGCATTTGACCAGGTCCACTGGTCTTTCCTCCAACATACTGCTTCAACACATAGGACTTGACCCTCATCTTTTGGATACAATCTTAGCTCTATAGAATTGTCCATCTGCGAAGATCGGCTCCAATGGCTTCCATTGCAGATCCATAATGGCACCCGCTAGGGGTGTTCTTTCTCCTTACTGTATATTCTTACCATGGAACACCTTGCAATAGCTATACAGTAGAACCCTAACATTAAATGTATAACAGTACTATCAATATAAGCTCTCCCTATATGCAGACGATCTGTAGCTCTACGTTACAGGTCCACTACTTTCCCTTCCGACGCTTATATGGATGTGCTAGGAATTTGAGACAATGAGCAATTTTAAAGTAAATATGATAAGACAAAGGCTAAAATCATTTCTTTATCTCAATCGACTATATCCCATCTTCAATGTAATTTTGCATTTAAATAACAGAAAGCCATCAAATATCTAGGCATTCAAATTCTATATTATCCAGTGCAGCAGATCCTAAATTACACTCCTCTTGCAAATGGTTCGATCCTGCCAAATCTTCTGAAAAGCCAAATATATTGTGGTTCAGCCGCATAAAAACAAAACAAAATAAAAAAATAAACATAACAAACAAAATGGGTATTGCAGAAATTACTGCATACCTTTCTAGCTAATCCAGCTTCCCTACCCCCTGTTTTTTCCCTCCCTAAATAGGCTATTTGGCCCTCTATTTGGTGCCATAAGAAATATAGGATTCGTAAGACGATTCTATAGTTACCAAAAAACAGGGGAGGGGTTGCTTTGCCCCAGCTGCTGATCTATCTCCATGCAGCCTCCCTGCTTAGGCTGGTTAATTGGGATCATGGTGCGACTACCAAATTGTAGAACCTGAAAATGATCACATATTCCCTGAGGTTACTTCTTTACCTTGGACTGATCCAGGCCATTGACCCTCGAAAGACCTTTTGGCCCTCACAGTCCATACAGCGATACAGGTATGGGATGCGCAAGGCCTGCTTTCTTCTAGGCCAAGCCCTCTGACACCATTGTTTGGGATTGCCTCACAGAGCTCTGATGAAGAAGGTCTGGCCTTCGAAACGCGTCAGCTGAACTGAGTGCTTACCCCCACGATGGGACTCGCGCTGGCCCTCTATCTCTGAAGTCCCTGTGAGGACTTACATGCCTGATTTTATTCGCTGTTTGTGAGTACCTTTCTTTTTAATAAATTTCTGTTTACTGAGGTAATGCGCAAGGTTTGTGCGCTTCTCGTTTTTATTTCGCTTTGCAGTGTTGGTCGGGTTTCCCCAGCCTTGTTTGGAGCTGCACAACCTTTGAAGCACTGGTGGCCGCTGTTTTTTTAGTTCTGGTTCCATCTATTTGCCACCTGCCTGGGTCCTAGAGCGCAGAAGAATTCGTGTTTGCTATATTATTAGGAGCCAAACTCTTAATCCTCTTTCTGGGATACTCCGGACATGTCAGGTGCATGGCTGGAATACACACAACTGATTTTGACTAATTTGTCTACGACAGTTTGAAGATGATCCAGTTGCATTCAATGCATAGTGGCCATCCTCTAACCTCCTCATTGTCTATTTCAAACCCCCACCTTTTTTTTCCTCTCTCTCTCTCCCTTCCTATACACCTTTCTCTATGTATTTTTTACCAGATATTTGACTTATCAGCTTTACATGATACTATTACAATTGTAGCCTCATATGCTTTGGATATATGTATGGGGTCTTCTGTCCCTTCTGTCCAATGAATACCTCGGATTTCCATATTGTTATTTTTTTCTGTATCCTGCTAGATGGTCTTAGCTTTCTACCTAACCATTGATAATGACCATTTTTGCATTACGTTATAATTGTGGGTCATATGTGCCTCGATGTATTGTTGGCACAAGCTACATAAGTTTCTTTTTTTTTCTCTACTTGTGATGTCTGAAAACTGTTAATTAAAAATTATTCAACATAATAAATGAGCAAAATCAACTCACATGTGCTAATGCTTGCAGAGGGGCAATGAGTGAACTGTATGTAATCTGAATATCTGGCAAGTCTCCATGCCGGTAACTTCTATACAGAATGACTTGAGCATCTTGCTTCATCTGTTGCTCGATTTTTATTGCCTGAAAAAAAAAAAAAATATGCTTCTTTTGCAATATGGGCAGTCTGTAACACCTGAAGGGAAGGATGTTCATTTTAACTTGCAATTTATTTCACTTTTGCCTGTTCAAAATAACATGAGAAACACAAATAATTCTTATAAACCATACCTTTTCTCTTTTCTGTTCTGCTACTCCCTTTCTTGCAAAGCTGATACTTATCTTTTCTTGGTCCTTCAAAAACCGTCTGCGCAGTCTCCATATTTCAGTTGTTTCAACTATGCCTTGGTCGAAAAATGTGAACAAGTGTTAAAATGCATTTTTTTTATGTATAAGCTCTTGTTACTAATCAGGTAGCAGGTAAACCCAGAATTACCCCCATACAATTTAAAGGTCTAAAATAACTGACCTATCACAGCATAACCTGAAGGAAACAAAAAAAAAAAAATAAAACAAAATAAATGGCACCAGTTGGGGGTGGTATCTGCTACCACCTATCCCATCCCCCGCCCTGCAAACTGAACTGAATGAGAAAACTGTTTTGTAGTGATTACAAAGCACACTATTTTCTGTGTGTGTGTCCAAAAATGGTCTGGTAAATAACAAAACAGGACAGCCATAAACCTAAGCAACCAAATGTGGCCACCTGAAAAAATTACACACCAAGAAGTATATCAGCTGATGCAACTACTACATGCCCATGGTCGTACAGATCACCTGGTGTTCCTGCCAGTTCCTCTGCAGTTCAAATTAAAACTGACCACATTAGGCAAGAAATACATCTAGCTGTGCTGTGAACTCAGCCTGCTCTTGTCCAATGATCATACTTCTGCTGGCCACCCCCTCTGCATAGTAATTCTCTGGGAAGACCAGTGTCTGCTGTTTCTCCACCCTTACCTCTCTATGCAGCTGAGAGCAGAAGGTATGTGTTCACTTATAAAACAAAAAAGGGGAAAAATTGTATTTATAATGTTTTTATATGTACACAATTATAAGGCAAGTGGCATTTTTGAGGAATAATTTAATTATTGAACAACTACAGTGCTCACGGTCAATCCAAAATTTGAATAAAACCCAAACTTGAATATTTAAAAAAAAAGTGAGGTTTTGGCTTTCTTAGGAGAATATCTATGTGTGTACAATTATTGGTCAACTATTAGTGTGCAGAATTATAATGCATCTAAATAAAAAACAAAAATTTTCCCATCTCACTTGTTCATTTTCATCTGTTAAAGCGAGAATAATAAACAAACAACTCAGTATTTACAAATAAACATTTCTGAGAATTTAAAAAAGAAAAAAAAAAAAAAAAGAGACCAATATAGCCACCCTTTTCAATAACAGCCATGTGCCACCAATTCATTGAGTCTGTCAGTTTCTTGATTTGTTAACGATCAACTTTTTGTGCAGCAACAACTAAAGCCTCCCTCCAATCACTGTTCAGAGAGGTGTACTGTTTTACTTCACCGCAAATCTCCCGTTTAAGGACCTACAAATTCTCAATATGGTGACAGGGGAGGGGAGTTCCAGCACACAGCAGGTGATTGACGTAATGGGACTGTGTTTCTGATGATCAGAAATGCAGTGTAAAATGTACGCTTTTTATGACTGTGGGTGAGAGGGCTGCAAATAAATAGGTACAACTTATTTAAGAGGAATTGTTTCATCTCTGTACATCACACTGTGAACACTGTGTCCCACCTTCAGTGGACATATGTAAGGGTTTACAACCATATTAAACTAAGCGTTCTATTGGATGTGATATTGTCCATTTATAATTACCCTATGAATTCAGAACACATGTATACCCATACATGTAATAAAAGTGATCTGGTCGTATTAATACAGCAGTGGGAGCCTTCTGAACAAAAAGAAGCTGTGAGCTTGTTTCACCCATTTCAAGGTGCGGATGTAACCAAAAGTACCCAGGACGCCCCAAAATTCTGAAGTGAGATAAGCCAAAACTTTTTCAAGTTTTGACCAGATTTAGAAAGGGATAACACATCCAATTTGCTTCATTCTATATTAGGAAGATACACTCTTTCTTTGGAGACAGTAAGTGGATATGATATTGGGATACAGACACTGTTGGCATACAGAATAAAACAAAACACCTTCTTCAGTAAAATGGGAGAGATTTCAAACTTCCATCAGGTTATTATTACTGAGCAGGTAGCAACTGCTCCACTCCAGTCTTGTCCTGAAATTATTGGCTGTATCATAGACAAGATAAAATTTAATCCCCACAATGGGTCATGGGCGTCAGTAAAAAATTTGACAGGAGTATTTATGCTTCTCAAGTAAATAAAAAAAAAAAGAAAGTTAATCTGTAGTTGGACTTTAAATTTGTGTCAATAATAAGCATACACTTGTGGACTACAGTCCTGCATTAATAAAATCAAAGAGAATATAAAAGGTATATATTTAGCTTGCTCACCTTTGGCTTTGCTGTCCGTTTTATCTCCAGGAAGCCCCAGCCTCTGTTTTCCAAAGTTAGGACCCAAGGGTTTTAATTGGCCCCTACGTGTTTTGTCAATCCGTCTGCTTGTAAAGAGCAGTGCTGAGGACACGGACTCTGAAGAATCTAAAGAGTAATCAGTAAGCGTGTCCATGCTACTTCCAGTAAGCCAATTATAAGAATTTCTGCCACCTAAATGCAAAATAAAAATCTCATTAATTCACATCCAAATAATTAGACATCATTGTATTAACTATCTGTGCAAAATTATGAGAGATCAATCAACAGATTCAGGCTAGTGATGTTTGGCCTGGATCTTCTGATTGATCTCTGCCCTATCACACATCATCCTGTACCTGTGTTTACATTACACAGGCACAGGAAATGATGCAATCTTCTCTCCCTGGGCACATTCTGTTCCTGAGAGAGAAGAAAGCAGATCCACCTGAGTAAAAACAGCATACAGACACAGTAAAATCACAGCAAGGTCACATTTATCCCCCTGATCGCCCCCCAGTTAACCCCTTCACTGCCCTGTCACCAGATTCATTAGTACAGTGTACAGATTTTTTTTTACCGATAGCTGTATTAGTGTCATCGGCGACTTCAGATAGAGTTAGGGTCCCTCCCAGATAGCATCAGATTGCTCATCACTACATCAGTCTTCCCATTTAACCCCTTGTGTGCCAGGAACACGCTCACATACACAATAAACTTCAATTGCTAGTATAGTGTCTGAACGGATCAGCATCTTTGATCAGATCAGCATTATTCCAGCGTTCACAATAGTATAGTGTCCCCAGAAACACAACGTTAGTGGGATCAGCTCCAGCACATCCTGCGTTTAGCCTCTGCCCCCCCCCCCCTCCCCCAGCAAGTGTAGTGTCAGTAGATAACTTTCTTTTGATACATTGCACACAAAACCATAGTGTTCGCATAATCAGGCCTGATGTCTGCTAGCACTTGCAGGTAAATTTTTTTGTAGTGGTTCAAGCAGTCCCTGACAGCCAGGTGAGTCGCACTAGGTACCTATAAATTTAGTGGCCAAAATGTCCAACGAAAGGTACTCTAGTGAAGAGGCCTACAGGATTCTGACCATGTCAGATGAAAGCGAAGGGGAAGCCTCACTGACAAAATCAGGCTCAGAATACGAACATGAAGAGACAGCAGCGGCACCTTAACAGATAACTTAGACGATGGAGTAGAGGTCCATGCTAAGGTCAGGCGTACCCAACCCCGTTCCCAGGTTGCTGAGGTAGTACAATTGCATGATGATTCTCTTTTGGTGAACTGGTGAGCACCAGTGGCCTAGTACATCCTGGTCTTATACATAACAGCACTGTAGTATCACATGGTGACGTGTCAAGTCCCATAACTGCAGTACAAGCTGGTGCGGTGGCTAGCACAAGTAGTGTCCCGCAGCCACCAAGAATTCGCGCACACACAAGCCCATAGTGTCCTTCCGCATGTGCTTGCAAATCCTGATTGGCAGCCCACAAATTCTGCAGCACCCGTACTTCCCCCATTCACTGCCCAACCCGGTATTCAGGTGGAAACAGCAAATTTAACTACTTCCCTTGATTTTTTTTGGAGCTATTTTGCACAGAAGATCTGTATACATTGATTGTGGATCAAAGCGATATAAATGCACACCAATTTATCGCCGCCAACTCATATTCAAACCTTACCAGACCATTTGCATGGAAACCTATTATGGTTTCCGAATTTAAAGTTTTTTTGGGCCTAACCCTCAACATGGGCATTACTAGAAAAAAAAAAAAAAAAAATGAATTGCTGTTGTATTGGTCCACAGACCCGATTCATCATATGCCCGTGTTCTCTGCTGCCATTGCCAGGCATATATATGAGAATATAATGCAATTTATGCATTTCAAGGACAATACACTGTCGTTTGCAGTGTGAACCCGAATTTGACCGGCTCCACAAATTTGGCCCCTCGTAAATCACTTTAACCAAAAATTTGCAGATGTCTATACTTCCTAAAAAAACCATCTGCGTTGATGAGTCACTCATTAATTTTTATGGCCGCCTTGCATTCAAACAATTTCTCCCCAGCAAATATGCCAGATATGGGGTCAAGATGTAGAAGACCTGTGAGAGGGCAACAGGCTATACATGTAAGTTTCGGATTTACAAGGGAAAGTTACATGGAGCCCCCTGGATGCCCAGACTACATGGGGAGCAGTGGCAAAATAGTTTGGAATTTGGTGTCATCCTTTTTCCATATGGGTTACCACTTATACGTGGACAATTTTTATTCAAGTGTGCCACTATTCAGACATTTGTACAATCTTGGAACTGGCACATGTGGCACCGTGCAACCTAAGCGCCGGGGTTTCCCCCAACAGTTTGTAAATACCCATCTTAGAAAGGGGGGAAAAAACCTGCTTGAGAAATGATGAATTGCTCGCAGTGAAGTGGAAGGACAAACGGAATGTTTTCGTCCTTTTTTACATCCACAGCGGCTGCTGTTGTTGAGAAATCCCTCTGTGTCCACGACAATAACCTTAACATGGAAGGGGTGGACTTCAACGACCAGATGATGAAGCCATACTTTGTTTCCCGTAAAGCCAGACGCTGGTACAAAAAAGTGTCTGTTTATTTATTTCAATTGACTCTATATAATGCTATTGTGCTTTATAAAGCAACTGGACGTAGTGGATCCTTCCTGAAATTCCAGGAAGAGATCACGGCCCTTTTGTATCCAGAAGGTGCTGTGGCCCAAACCCCCAACCCAGATGCAGTTAACCAGCTGCATGATAGGCATTTTCCAGATGCCATTCCTGGTACCCCAACCCAAAGGACACCCCACAAAAGATGTCGTTTATGTAGCAGACACGGAATTTGGCATGACACCTGCTTATTTTTGTCCCTCCTGGTCTCTGCCTCAAGGACTGCTTCTGTCGCTATCATACACTCGTGGACTATTAGTATAGGATGCAGCATGGCACAGTCTAGGGTACACATTTACACAGGGTCTCAAAAAATGTTAGGTAGTCAGGAAACTGGCTATCGTATTTTGAGAGACCCTAACATCTGGAAGTTTAAAAAAGTAGAAAAAAAAATAGTTGTTTGTTTATTTTTGTACATAAGTGTGTGCAGTGCTGCTGGATGAGATTTTTCATCTGCAGTAAAAAAAAAAAAAAAAAAAAAAAACATAAACAGAAAAGAGCATATATGCCCAAGCATGGAGTCTGGGGTGGCCAGTGGGTGGATGGCCCCTATGCTACGGCATATATTTTTTAAAAACAATTTTGGCAGAGATTTCTTCATCCACATCAATCGATGTGAATTGAGTAACAGGCTGAAGAAAAAAAAAAAAAAGCATTTCATGTTTGCCCACCATTAAAAGTGGGTGGATGCAGAGCGTTATATTCTAATGGTCGGCATACCACACAATTTTTCTGGCAGCGATTTCTTCTCTTTTTTCCCATTTAGCTCACAGGCTGCATAAAAAAAAACAAACAAAAAAACATAACATATATATCCAACAAGGACCAGCGACGTACTGACGTACTGGTACATCACTGGACTTTTGAGTGCTTATACCATGATGATGCCTGCAGCTGCAAACATCATCCTGGTATTTTTTTTTTTTTTTACCGGCAATTGGCTTTCATGTGAAAGCAAACCTAGTGGCTAATTAGCTGCAGGATTGCTTTTACAAGCAGTGGGAGAAGATGCCGTACTGGTATAGAAAACCGCAGTTGCACCATGCATGTGAGGTATCATCGCGAACGTCAGATCGAGGGCAGTAATTCTATAAAGCATGTCATCTTTGGTATTTACTTACTCGACATACCATCATCTTTTATATATAGTACGAAACAATTGGCCAATATATTGTGTTTTTGTGCATTAAAAGTAAAAAAAGTGTATTTTATTCAAAACATTTGCTATTAAAAAAAAAAATCGCTATGCGAGTACTACATAACATTAAAAAAAATTGCAGCACCCACCATTTTATTCACTAGGTTATAATGTTTGGGGGTTCAAAGTAATTTCCTAGCTAACAATACTGATTTTTTTTCATGTGAACAAAAAGTGTCACAAAAGGCTCGGTCTTCAGGTGGATAGGAGAGAGTGAGTGATGAGTGGCATAAAATTCTAATGCTGGGCATAAAATGTACCCCCCTCCCCCCCAAATGACCCTTTTTGGAAAGTAGACAGCCCAAACTAAATTCCTGAGAGGCATGTTGAGTCAATAGAATCATCTATTTTTTTTACCACGTTTTTGGAAAAAAAAAAAAAATCCTTTTTTTTTTCACACAAAATTATCACTTAAATGATATATTGCTTACACATGCCAGGGGTATATGTGGAATTACTTCCCAAAATACATTCTGCTACTTCTCCTGAGTATGGGGATACCACATGTGAGTGACTTTGACAGTCTAGTCACGTACAGGACCCCAAAATCCAATAAGCAACTTCAGGCTGTTAAAGGGCTTTATTTCCTCATTACACTTCCTGACTACCTATCACAGTTTTGCAGGCCCTGAAATGCCACAATAGTATGAAACCGTCTCAAATTACCCCTTTTTTGAAAGTAGACACCCCAAGGAATTTGATAAGATGCATGGTGAGTATTTTGCAAATCTCATTTGTTGCCACAAGTTTTTGGAAAATGAAAAAAACAAACAAATATTTTTTTCTTTTTTTTTCTTTTTCAAAACCTTGGGAGAAAAAATTAGATCTGAAAAATACTCACCATGCCTCTTTTTAAATTCCTTGGGGTGTCTACTTTCCAAAAAGGGAGGTTTTGTACTGGCGTTTCAGAAATTGTGATAGGTAGTAAGACAGTGAAATAAGGAAGTTACGAACCTTCAGGTTTTTCAAAGTGGCCATTGGATTTCAGGCTCCTGAATGTGGCTAGGCTTCCAAAAAGTCTCACACATGTTGTATTCCCATACTTGGTAGAAGCAGCATAATGTATTTTGGGGTGTAATTCCACATATACCCATGGCATGTGTGAGCAATATATAACTTAAGTGACAACTTCGTGTACAAAAATATATATATTTGTCATTTTCCAAAACTTATGGAAAAAAAAATCTTCCATGGACTCAACATGCCTCTCAGCAGATAGCATAGGCTGTCTACTTTCTGAAAAGGGGTCATTTGGGGGTGTTTGTACTATCCTGGTATTTTAGCACCTCAAGAAATGTGAT